AACTGTTCCAAAGTTTTATAGTGGTACCTGTGAGTTACAATCAAAGTTTCCAAAGACCTGTAAAGGAATATGTTTGGTTTCATTTTTGTTGAATATTTCACAAAAATATTCAGAATAAAATTAAATTCTAAACCATGGACAAAACAGCTACCTGATTATTATAGATTATTATTATAGAGCATTTTGTGTTTTCTGTTTTGATCTTGAGTTGCTGGCTATGCAGAGTTGAAGTATTAGATCTTGAACTGGCAAAAATAGGAGTTGCTGACAATGCATTGGTCAAGAAGCCTTGCGGGTATCTGTTAGGAACATGAGTGGTTGTCCTCGTTTTCTGTCAGGAAGAGGGCAGTAAGAACTTTTGTGGGTTTGGCAGTGTGTTTTGCCCTTGGACAGAAACTTCTGGGAAAAGCTTGGGGGATTGTAATGTTATTTTAAATAATAATAATAGTTTTAGATGTTAGACCTGAAAATTTGCAGCTGACCTTTTCTGAGAAATACCTACTTGCCTAGACAACTAGATCTCATTTAGTGTGGCTGTCAGCTTGGTGACTGTGAGTTTAAAAAGAAAATATTCAAAGATTTTCCATATATCCTGGGATATCAGTAAATGAAATTGTGATAATCATATAAAAGGCTTTTTCTCTCTTCAGTTTGGACTATGAGCATCCATCAGCCTGAATTTGGGCTCATAGCATGTTTGTGCATCAGTATTTGAGCTTCAGAATTCGTATGATTACATATATTTTTTTACACATAGTTCTCTCTGCTTAGAATTTTTAAAAATATAGGAAAAAACCCTCTGTCATATTGGACCAAATTTAAACTCAGAAATAGTAGATATTTAATGTTAGATAATACAGGTGTTAATAAAATAATAAGTTCATAGAGATGCTATGAAGTATTAAACACATTGGGATTGTAAGGGAGTGGGAACAAAATTCTAAAGTCGTCTTTATATGCCCTTGGTTATTGCTAAACATATGGTCTTCTAAGTCTGAATATTTGTATTTTTCTAATGTTATAAAATCACACTTAACATAAAATTTAAAAGGCGAACCCTGACTAAAGTTAATAAAAATTATTATATTTATTTTGAATTTCTAACACTGCTTGCTTTGGTTAGGCATATCTTGTTCCTGATTTGTATGACAATGAAAAACCAGCTAATATGGGACTAAATTTAGGAAACGTAGGGGCAAATGTGGCTTATGTTCTACTTACTCCAATGTGCATAAATTTGAGTTAGTTCTGAAGTGATCTTATCAGGCTTTCAGTCAGGTTTTGAAGTTGTATGAATGGTCAGGTCTGAATTTTTCTAAGCATTTGAAAGTTATGTGGAATCAAAATGCAGTCATCCAAGCAGTTACTTAAAAACACATTTTCAACAACTATATAATCAGCATAGCATTCCTTCCCCATCGACTTGCTTGTCAGTAGCCATTATCTTCTCTAAAATAAGCAAAACAAAAAAGCCTGTTTCTTTGGGGCCATCCATATTGCAGAGTTGGTGTTTATGTCCAATGCTTCCACTGGATGCCCTTTTTCATGATGAAAGTGTATGGAAATCTGAGTGCAGTGGCTTCAGGCAGCGTCACAGTTTAACTCTTGGACACTAAAATTTTCTGTGACACTTTTCAGTCTTCCAGTGCCTCACTGACAAATATTCTTTGCCTCATTGACCTTGTTAGTAGGACTTTGCCTAGGAATAATTATTCACATCTTCATCAATTGTTTGCTAGACTGGAATGTTATCAATACAGTGTAAATTAAATACATTATAAATGGATGTGAAATTATGTGGTATTTTGTACAAAATAGCCTTACTATAGTGTATTAATTTGGGTTGATGTTTAGAACTCTGAATGGAAAAAAAATCAAGCGAAATATTCATTGGCACAGATTCTAATTAATTTTTCAATATTTGATATTTACTGAGCTGGTAAAGATGCTTCCTATTAAGGAGCTGAAATGAGGTGGAGGGAAAGGTTCAAGAGAACCTCCATCCAAACTCTCGCAGTTTGGATGTAGTTTGATGAATTTACTCTTTGTATGTCTAAGGAGAAGCATCTGATTTAAAAAATTCTTTTGGTTTAATTGAAATGTGTGTAGTAAATGTAATTGTTTCAGTTAAAATGGTATGAAGGATTTTTAATGCAGTGACTTGGTGGGCAGACTGGGTGGCTCAGGAAGACCTTGCAGTAGATATCTGAGGGATCAGAGAGTGCACTCAGTCACAGTTAGAGGTCAGAACCTGGCTTTTGGTAGAGAATGTAAAATGTTGAGCTTTTTTTAGACTTTTGAAATACAACCTTTGGTCAAGGTGGCAAGCTCCATTGCTTTTTTTGTAGTCTGTGCATCTGTGTACAGTAAATGATATGGGCAATCATCTGTTTTCCTTGCAAAAGGAGTTAATCTAAAATCCCACAACAGAGGGCAAATCTGGGAGTTTGTAAGGCGATAAGTCTAGTTTATCTCCAGATTTTTTTGCAAAGTGGTCTTTTTTTGGGTGATGCTTATTGCAATTTCTAAGTTGCTGGTACACTAATTTTCTTTAAAATTGTCTTTTTGTATATATCTTTAACACATAATTTAATTATTGTATTAAATAGCAATGTATTTATGTTGTAACACAGTCATCTTTTGAAGACACCTTGTGTCAAATTTGAGGTCAACCTTAAAATCTTGAACTCTGCATTTTGGGATATTTTAATACATGATCTTTTTGTACCAAAAACCTAATGGTAGCTGTTGCCTGCAATAAACATAAAACTGTATTTAATGTTGTAGTAATTGAAATAAAACTGGTTGATGTTTTCCTCAAATCCAGATACTATGGTGGTAGTGTTAAAGTGAAGTATAGTTTTAAATTGGAAACTTCCTCTGATGTGTTTCTTGTGTCTGTTGTATCTCTAGTGCAGAAGAGCAGGTTTTTAGTTGACCTGGAGTCTAGCTGCCAGGTCTAACACTGTTTCTTACTGCAAAACAAGGTTCTCACCCTCTCCTCTTCCATTCCCTTATTTCACAACATTGAAAGCCAGCTCTGAAGAGAGCAAGGCTGTTTTGGATGATGTTCAGAGAACAGATCAAATCAAGGTCTCACTTTATGGTATATAGGTTATGGCACACATTTCTCAGAGAGATGTCTCTGCTGATAGTGAATGTTTTTAAAAAATGAGTCAAGGACTCTTGTTGCTACAAGCCTTTGGTAGCAAGAAGACCATATTCCTACTGTTAGGGTGAAAATGTTATTTATTAAGTGAAGTTGTAGAAAGTTATTTAATTACTTAGGGGTATTTTTTTTTCTTTTCTCCCTTGTCATCTTCCTTTCTAGCCTGAGAGTATTATTGTTTAATGAGACTATTTACTTCAGTGAATTTTGCTAGATTTCCAGTGCTTGCCTTTTAGGGAAATAAGGATTATTAAAGCAGGGATTTTAAGAGCTAGCACAATTCAAGTAACACCCATTAAGTCCTTTAACAACTTCTACAAGTATGAATCTTTTGAAGCGTCTCTGGGAAATGTAGAGTAACACAGAATACTGCTAGCCTAGTATACATTAAAAAATCAGAAGTGTGGAGAGTTTAAACTACTTGTTCAAAGCCACGTGAGCTAACTGGTGGCAGCACAGAACTGAAAGCTGGATCTTCAGATTGTTAGTTGGCTTTCTGATTCTCTAGACTGTTATCTTCTGGCTGGTGTTGGAGCAGTTTTGCTGGTGATCCTGATGGTTAGACACATTAATGTGGCTGTCATTGCACTGCCATCATCATTTGGTTTTTGAAATATCTTAAAGGGCATTGCTGGCTTTGGTGACAGTTCTGTTTAAATGCTCAGGTGGAGGTCAGTGTTTTCCTTGAGTGTAAAAAGTTGAGGCAACGCCTTCAAATGCTTAGAGAGGCATTGATGGAGAGCTGTGGAGGCAGAAGTGTGTGACTGGGTTTGACGTTGTTCAGTGCATTATTGTTAAACGTATCCTTGCTCACCTGTTACAGTGGCAGTGCTTTGGTAACTACTGATGAAAGTTTGTCCTCTTCCTTCTCTCCCTGTTTATTGTGGTGGAAAAAATCTCAGACATCTAAATAAGGATGGAAATTGCATTGATATGTAATGAAAATAAAAGCTTGAGATATGAGAAAAATTGTTTCCTATATAGGTTGCATTTTACAGGTCCTAAGCAAACACTGCATGAGAAAGAACTGCATGACCTTCATTTTTGTTACATTGCCCTAAAGAGAAGGTTTTTGGCAGTCAGAATTTTTAGATTGTAGAATTCAATTTCACATGCTGCCTGTATATAACTTTCTCCCAAATCTTGAAAAAAATTTATTTTCATTTTGGCCTCTCAAAAAGATCTGCTGCACTAAATGGAAGATGCATTGAATTAAGCGGAGGGACAGATGTGCATGTTGTTTTATAAGTCCTGTTGTGTGGAATACGTTCTACTTTGAACTGACATGGACTTACAAACTTGGTTTGCTTAGTATTCTTTTATTGATCTAATGAGGATATTTTCTGTTGCTGTGACAGCCAGCATGTAAAAATGAACCGGTGTTCTTCAAATGTTGTTGCTACAGACACTTGATTCACATCAACACATTTACTTTTTTATTTGTGTGTGGCAGCATTTTAAAAAACATTATTTTGCAAGTATTTGCAAATAGTATGATTTAAAAAAAAAAAACCCTGGATCTTGCTTAAATATTAAGATTTTAAAAAACATATTTATAAGCTTGGGAGATTGAAGGTAATAAAATCCAAAGCAAGTTTGGGGAGGTTGTTAGTCTGAATTAAACAAGTTTAAGGACATAAATAATTTTTATTCCTGGAAAATACTTTCAGTTTATGCATGTAATGTATGTAAAATCTGATTTACAAAGGACTTCTTTTCCACTTAAATCGGGGCAATATGTAGCAGAACACTGCTGACTGAGGTTAAATATCTGATTGTAATTTGTTCTCTGGCAGGTTCAGACAAGAATCTGGTGGTCTTTCCCTGACAAATGGAGAACTATTTCCAAGCAGAGGCATATAACCTCGATAAGGTTTTAGATGAATTTGAGCAAAACGAAGGTGAGTCATTTTGAACAAGATTGTAGATGCACATTAGATGTATTCTACAGAGAACACCATTGAGAAGGGAGAGATCTTTGATACCCTTCTTGGTTTTGAGTTGCAAATTAATCTCAGAACTTGCAAAAACATCTGTTAATTCTACATGGTGTGTCTTTGGTGTTTGTTAGTAGTATCCTGTTCTGTTTCCATTTATCTTGTTTATGTTTTTAAAATTTCTTACTCTTTTAATAGAAAAATCTTCGGTACACTTTTTAAAGAAAGGTTTTGTGAAGCTTAATCTCAATGCCAATATTTTTAAACAAATTAGGCAAAACTTATTTTAAGCTTCTTTTGCAGTTTTGGGAGACTCCAGCATAGAAATGTTTTATTAGGTCACATAAATCATATACTGAAAGTTATCGTATTTGAAGTATTAAATTTTTTGCTTAGTCTAATGGCTATTTCTGTGCTGTCAAGGGAGTTGAACACTTTATGGGAATGGGAATCTTTCTAGGCATTTCTAGCTGTCTAAAGTATATTAATCAATAGTTTAAGGTTGCTTGTGTAGATTCAGCCTGGTACTAGTTGGTGCTACTCTAAACTTCTTGAGTTCCAGAAACATTATGCAATTACACTACTAATGGTTGACCAAGGATGTTAGTTATGGCAAATATGTTTTACTGTTGTACCTGTATTTGAACATCTCTAAATTTGTATTTGGGGCATTCCAGTGCAACAGAGTTAATAGAGCCTGTAGTGTTAACAGGACAGTAAGTTCTCTTTATTTAAACACTGTTTCAGATGCCACTGTTTCACCTACATTATTGGGTGCAAAATGGAATCAGATTCTAGAGCCGCCTTCTCGTCGTCTGTCATTTAACCCGACTGTGGCCAATGTGAATGAAGCTACAACTCCTAATGAATGTCAACAGAGATTAAAGTCTTTCTCCGTGTCTCATTCAGTGACTACACCAACAGGAGGAGGGGATCATTGTGCTAATGGAAAGGATTTTAGTATAAGCCCAGAGACCCCAGTCATGTGGATTGATGATCAGGCAGCAGCAGATGACCAATTGATTAAAAGAAATAGTAATCAGGGTGATCAGTGTAACACTGTGGAAGCAGGAGAAAAGAAATGTGGAAATATAGCTTGCTTGCCAGAGGAGAAAAATGTACTAGTGGTGGCAGTCATGCATAACTGTGACAGAAGAACACTACAAAGTGGCAATTTGGTGGATTGTAAAAATTACAACAGTCAGTCCCTAATGGACACTATTAGCTTTACACTGGATAATGAAAACCATCAGAGTGATCAGTTTAGTGTTACTGTAAATGGATCCATGGAAAAAGATACAGATACAGAAAAGCAAGTAAATCGGCTGTGTACTGAAGATGACTCTGTAAGTCATTTGGTTAATGCTTCATCTGAAAGCCTGACCGTTGCATGCCCCTCCTCTCAATTAAAGGATGATTTTAATATGAGTAAAGATTCACTGTTTTCAGAAGCTGCAGCTGCAGGGATTAATGCAGTGACTCTTTTACAGAGACCAGTTGATGGTACCATTAAAATGCAAGAAAATTGTGTCTCAGTTGAAAATTTTACTAGTAAAGCCATTCCTCAGAGAACGGATCTAGAGGCTAAAAACTCTTCTTCTGGTTCAAGTAATGGAAGCTTAATTGTAGAAGAGGAAACAACCCAACAGTTACAGTCTAGGCTATCTGGGCTCACTGAAAACTGTCAACCTAATGTGGCTGGAAGTGGCAATTACAAGGAACGTGTTGCAGAACATTTTGCCCCTGAGGATGTTAGTGCCACTGCAAGCAAAGTCATTGAATGTGATAAAAATCTTGGCACAACGGAATTGCTCAGCGTGGCAGAGTGTTGCCCTGAATCTCAGGAGATGACTAATTGGGAACCGACTAAGTTGAATGGGATGAATAATAAGCAAACTCTGGGAGAGAATGAAAGACTCTTGCAGATGAAACAGCCTGATGAGGCATGTAGTAATAGTAAAGAAGGTGGAGATGGGGTGATGGAGGCAGGTATAGGCTTACAAGGAACTGGTATAGATGAGCTTGAAGGGTCCAGTCTCTCTGATGTGATGGCTACATCAGCAGCAAGCTCTCTGTCTAATGGTTGTGATTCCTATGGAATGCAGAACCCAGTTGTTGCTCATGTTCCAAAGACTTTGCCCTCCAAGGAAGACTCGGTAACAGAGGAAAAGGAGATAGAGGAGAGCAAGTCAGAATGTTATGCTAATATTTATGAACAGAGAGGAAATGAGATCACAGAAGGGAGCAGTCTTATTTTAAATAGCACTGGTGACCACATAAAGAAAAATTATTTGCATAATCTTTGTAGTCAGGTTTCATCCATGCAAGGGCAAACTTCACCAAAACCAGTGACTAATCTGCAATCTATCAGTGTTCCTTTTGGTGGTGCAAGACCTAAACAACCTACAAATCTTAAACTGCAGATTCCAAAGCCATTATCGGACCACTTACAAAATGACCTTGTTCCCCCAAATTGTGGAGGTAATAGTAAAAACAAAAATGTCTTTGGTAAAACACAATTAGGGGATACAACAGATGCGTTTCCCGGTGAAACATCTTTAAATGCCTCTGTTACTGATGCTAATGGGGAACATTTGGAAGAGTATGAATCTGGAGTCTCTAGTAGTCCGTGCCTTGCAGTAGCCCCAGATAGTCCAGATAATGATCTCAGAGCTGGTCAGTTTGGAGCTCCAGCCAGAAAGCCTTTTACGACTTTGGGTGAGGTGGCTCCAGTTTGGGTTCCAGATTCTCAAGCACCAAACTGTATGAAATGCGAGGCCAGATTTACATTCACCAAAAGAAGGCATCATTGCAGAGCTTGTGGGAAGGTAAGTTTGTATGTTGTGAGTAACCTCAAAGCATCCCTTTTTTCCTGATACTGCATGAAATCAAATCAGTGTACTTCTGAAGCCACTGGCTCTGTGACTAAAAAGCTGTGTTTGATTTTGTGAAGGAGAAAAAGGAGTTTCTAAACTCTAATCTATCTAGAGTACTAATAGAGAATAAGTAATTGTTATTTAAACCTGAGAGAATGACTAGCCTGTATGAGCAGTGTATTTTTGTTTGCAACATCATTGGATTAATCTAGAACTGCTATAAAATGGCCAAGCACAGGAAACTAGTTTGCAAAAATTACTGCATCAGTAATCCTGTTAAAGATACTGAAACATATTGATGGGAACTGGAAGCGTGCTGTTGAATTGCTTTCTGCTGGTTTAGATGGCGGATCAACTTTGTTTTTTGAAGTCTTCTTTACTAACTTTTCTCATATTGCTGACATTATTTTAAATAATATACATTTGCTCCTGGAAAGAAAAAAAAAAAAAAGTGAAGTATCTGTAACCTGATGTATGTACACATGGTAAGAAATTTTGTAATGAAGACAATGGAAACATAATTTCTGTATCGTTTTGTGTTGTGTAAGATATATTTTATTGTTGACTTTTTTTTTGGAAGTTTTATGTATGTGCCATGTAGGTCAACACAAATTCTTATGTGTCAAGCTTATGGTAACTGATTAACTTGTGAAATATTTCCAAATATCTTGTTACTGAAATAAAAGTCAGTGGCACACGGGAAATAGGAACTTAGGAAAAAAAAATGGTGATTCAAAAGTGGTAAACTAACATTCTTGTCAAGTAGATATTAATGAATGTTTTTAAGATTAAAAGAAATATTAAAACCCACGAAAAACTAGAGTAAAAGTAACTTTGGTTCATTTAGGCGCTATCCAAAGATTTCTGAAGTTGATCAAAAGACCTCCTGATTGCTATGGGCAAGATCTTTAGCTACCAGAATTGTGCAGGGAAGCAGAATGACTTGAACAAAGGACCTAAAAGAAGCCAATGTATCTGGATAGCTCAAACCCCTATGCCACCTGTATCTGGAAGCAGCCTAGCAGAAAACCCAGGCTCGCTCCTCTGTAAAGGACTGCGTATGTGTGCCGCTTGTCCCTTTAGTAACCAAAATGCATAGGAGTCCATCTGTTCACTGCAACACCAGATCAGTAGATTTTATTCAAATTTGATTTTGAGACATGCTGAAAAGTCTTTCCCAGGACGCACTTAAAAGCTACGCAGGCATTCATTGTGCACTGGTCCAGGACTTCCAGTTGCTTGCTTCTGCCCATCCTCTTGCAGGTTGGTTGCAGTGCAAGTCCTGATGTGGAGCTAGTACCACAGGAGAACAATAAGCATCGTGTGAGGTACCTGCCTACCTTTTGTGTACCTTTCGGTTAATATCAAAGGGCTCAATCTTTGTCTCATTTAAGGAAAATCTGTAAGGCATATAAGTTAAAGGAATGTCCATCATTTTAGCTTTGATATGTTAACTTATACTGTCAGTTATTTAGATCATTCTTTTGTTTTTTTATGAGATTAGCAAATATGACTCGATTTGCCTTTACAGTAATGTTTTCTATTTATTTTTGTGTTTTAACCAAGTTCATTGCTTGGATTTAATTACTTCCCTGTAATGACTGAAGCCCTGAATTGCGCAAATGAGAAGCAGAAAATGAAAATCTCTGTAAACAAAATGGATAAAACATGCACAGATAGAGCAAAAAATGTAGTGTGGGTTTTTTCCTTTTTTCTCTTTTTTTCTTTTTTTTTAATTAAACTACTGAAGACAAGCCTTCAGAAGAACAACCAGCATTGTTTTGGATTATATGTGGGGAATGGATAAAATAAAAGGTCTCTCTGCTCTGTAGACGAACTTGTTTCTCAGATGTGAAAAATATATCACATATTCTAACACTCTGAGAATATTAAGTACTAATTATCCTCGGACTGGCTTGTTTCTAGAAGCTTTTGTTAGCTAATATTATCTGGGCCAAATTCACACACATGCAGTCAAAAGATGTGGCAGAAAATTCTGGTATTTCATGCTGCCTTATGTTTTTTTCTCTTAAAAAAAAGCACATATTAATAAATGCTGAGAATCAGCATACGTCAAATAATACTTAGCGCTTACTGCAAATTGCTTGACAACACTTAATTCCCGTAGTGGTTCTGGGAGGAAAGAGACCAAGGGCCTTGACAGGCAAGCTCTGATGAATCTAGCTGTAGTGGCTTGAGACACAGCTATTCTCAGCTGTCTGCTCCTGCTTCTCATCCCTAAAGCAAGTCATGTTGACCGTGTGCATGTGTAGTAGGTAGCTACTGAATCACAGTGACGCTTCCACATTTTCTACTAAATGTATGAATCTCACCTAAAGAATTGGGAAGACAGTGTCTTCAGCACTTGCAATTAACTGTTTCTAGGGGAAGTCATGGGAATAAATATTTTTGAACATTGGCTTTAGCACAACAGTTTCTTTTTAAGCTTTATTAGCATCATAACAAATCATTGTAGTATCTGTTTCATTTGGGAATTAAACTTGCATTTTAAAATGGTTGAGTGGCACCTGGGAAGTCTGTCTTGGTTTTTAATTTCAGGATAATAATTGCAAAATTAATGGAAGATATGAACCTGAGGGGAGTGGTAGGAAGTAATATGCTTAAAGTAAATTTTGAATTAAAATTAACCTGAAGAATGTGTGTGAACACATTCATAAATTTTACCTTATGTATTTATGTATTTTCCATTGTCAGATGAAACAATCATCCTTGATAGGAAAAACAGGAAATTTGTGTGTCATCTTTTTAATACTATAAACTATATTTTTCCACTACAATATAAAAAAATCACCAAACCCCCTAGCAATTAAAGCTTTAACAACTCCCAGTGAACCTGAAAACCCTAGCAACATAAAAAATTGCTTTGACACTGCTATGTTATTTTTTTATAGCATGATATACTGAGATAATGACTTGATGGTTGCTAATAACAAGACTGAATTGTCAGTTGTGCTAAATTGTGTTCTTCCTCTGCATTACAGCTGCTAGGAGGCTGATGCAGCCTAAGAGAGGAGGTGTAGATGTTCTGTCATTGCTTCTGTTTCCTCTTTTAATATTTAGATCATTGTACTTGGGAGCTTTGCTGAATGCACAATCTGTTGTTTCATAAAGTGTCCTAAATTAGATATTAATTTATGTTGGTCCTTCATTTATGGTTGAAGACATTGATTTTTCCATGTTCAATACTGAGCTTCCGACTGGAAATTTCTCCCAGAGAAATGAAACTATGTCAAATGTCTCTAAAATATGCTGTGATATTGTTATTAATATTCCCTAGAATGCTTGTAAATTGGGTTACGGTGCAAATGCAGAAATCGGATTTTTAAAGTATGCTTGCTTTTTTTTTTTAAAAAAAAAGGTTTTCACATAAGTGGAAGGGTTATTTTTATTTTTGTGTGAAAATGCCAGTGTATACACACTTGTATTTTGTTTCTGAAATGTTTAAGTTGACATGATTAGGAAATTTAAAACTGTGTGATGGGTTAACCCTTGGCTGGGAACTAACTCCACACAGCTGCTCTCTCACCCTCCCCCCTCCCAGGGCTGGGGAGAGAATAAAAGGCATAAAGGGAAGAAAGACTTGAAGTTTGAGATAAGAACAATTTAATAACT